CCTCTGGTAGATTTTTTTTTTTTCTTGGAGAGATTTTTGCTATAGGGCGCGTGCGCTCTCCAGACAGACAGAGAGAGACATAGAGACAGAAAGCAAGAAATTACCCCCCAGGGGGGATGGTCACGCCGCAATCCTTTCTCCTCCATTCTCCTCTCGGGATCTTGGGCACGCACACACACGTGCCCAGCATGAGTTTTAAGCCACCAGGTCCGGGACGCAAACTGCGGTCGACTACGTGGGAGTCCAGCGACATAGCCATTACGCTAACTGCTGTTTCCCACCTCTGGTAGATTTTTAAAAGAAAAAGGAATAATAGAAGGTACACATCCACACATTTATAAGACCCTCAAAAAATTTTTTCTGGTTGTAAAATGTAGCTGAGTAATACCTGCTTCATAAGGGACATTGGGAGAATTTTCAAAGTTAATCTGTTTTCAGCCTTAAAGCTAGTACTAGTAGTAAATAATAATATATTTACTTAGTTGTTACTATTATAATGACATTCTGTATATACCCTGGGGGAACATAAAGAAAACTTAGAGAAAGTTCCAAAAATGACTCAAGAATAGTAGGAAGATCTGATTACTATAGAAATGTGAAAGCTAGAGACTAACATTTTAATAATGCACGAATTATTTCAGACGTTATTTAAAGGAAAATTATCTAATTTATTTTACATCAGAATAATTTTAACAAAAGCAGGAAAAAATAGTAATTCCAAAAAAACCATTGGAAAAAATCTCTCAAATGCATATGAGGAATTTCTTTTTTTTTTAAGGGTATTAAAATTATAAATATTTTTAAATAGGTTTATTTTCTGTTATACATCTTACATGAGACACTTCAAGAAAGAAATTAATTCCAATGATTTCAAAATATATATGTCCTGGATTGAATGAATAGCCTTCATAATTATACCTAATCAATATCTAGAAATGTATAAAGATACTAAGTCAGCTAACAAGTAAAATAACCATGTAAACTATAAACCTCAAGAATGGGGACCATACATGATCAGTTAAGTCAGTGTACCACTGTGTTTTTTTGATAACACAATTCACATTGTTTCAGTCACAGGTACATCTATTGTGAGTATTAGACTGCCAATGCTAACAGCTTAAAACTATGATCTTTGTTACTTTAAAAAAAAATCCAGTTTAATGCAAAGAAATCAAAGATTTCAGGACCCTTCATCAGAAGCTTTTGATGCTTGTTGTACTACTTTGGTGTAGATAAACTTTCCATAGGGCGGGCACCACCACGCCCAGGATAAACTTTCAAGTAAGGCTAAAAAAGAAGAGTTACCTTTACCCACTGAAGACATGGTCTAAGATATGTGTGAACTAAGCAGTCTGTAATACTAGCTAGCCATTAAGATGTTACCAGTACAGGACTCCTTATAACAGCGCTAACATTAGCCAGAGTTACAAAAACAAGACATTTAGAGTTTTGTTATCAATACAGGCATAGCTTATTTTTTTGCTTTCCGTAAATCATTGTGTGTATGTATGTGGCTTTTTTAAATAATTATTTTATTTAATTCCATTCATTCATTTATTCATTTAAATTTGACCAGAGAAGGACAGAGTGTAAGAGAGAGAGAGAGAGAGAAAGTAAGAAAGTGAGCCACCTTGTGTGGGATTCGAACTGTAGTCGCCTATGTGGGAGTCCAGCGCCCCCAACCACCTGCCTCCTGCTAGCCCTCAAACCTTTGTTTTTGAAATGCTAAAAATGAGTTCCAGCTGTCATTCATTCCTGGTGGGAGGAACTGCAGGCACACAGGAGATGATCTACTGATTTACCTTCTCAAAGTACTCTTTGCAAGCAGTCAGACTTGGCTTAATTGTTGGAGAATCTGGTGTCCAATTTGCTGGATAGACTTCTCCATGACTTTCTACGAACTGGAATGCCTTCACCAAGTGGAGGTTCTCTTCCATGCTTTGGCCCACTATAAGATCATTGACAGTCAAATGCTTGAGGACTCCTTTGGGGTCAATTATGAAGATTCCTCTTAGCACAAGACCTGGACCTTCTTACAGCACACTGTAGTCTTGAGAAATTTGTTTAGTTATATCTGACAAGAGTGTGATGTTCATGTGGCCCAGGTTGCCATTCATCCTTGGCCTGTTTGTCCAGGCATATTTGCAAGACAGCAAAAGTGGGAATCCACTGAAACTGCAACAACTTTCCAGTTCACATAATGAAATACATTCACTTTGTCACGAAAAGCAATAATTTCTGTAGGACACACAAAGGTGAAATCCAAAGGATAGAAGAAAAGCACCAAATATTTCTCCTTAAAAGTCATCAAGGCTTAAGTCTTTGAACTCTCCTTTGACAATGGCTATACCTTTAAAGTAATGTGCATGCTGGGTGACAGCAGGAGCCTGTTATGAGGAACTGGTCTTAAAGGCAAACTTGCTTGTCCAGAACCAGACCACAATAGATTTATCAAGCAGGTTCTTCCAGAAGAAGCAAGCCTAAGGGCTGCAGAGACAAAAATGCCCCCAAGGAATGGTGCTCATAGGTAGGGCAATGGAGGCTGGAGCAACCTTCCTACAACCACAGCCATCTTCAGTGCGCCACGTATGAAGAATTTCTAAATAAATGTTTAGAAAACAATTCAGCAGTCTATGATCAAATAAGATTTATTCTAAAGAAGAAAGGAGAATTGGGACCAGCACTTAGCGTAATGGCTATGTCGCTGGACTCCCATGTAGTCGACCATGATTCGAGTCCAGGACTTGGTTGAAACTCACGCCAGGCGCATGTGCGTGCGTGGCCAAGATCCTGAGAGGAGAATGGAGGAGAAGGGATTGCGGCATAGCCATCCCCCCTGGGGAGGGTGATTTCTCGCTTTCTGTTTCTCTGTCTCTCCCTGTCTTTCTGGTGAGCACACACACCCTATAGCAAAAACCTCTCAAAAAAGAAGAAAGGAGAATTTAATATGTAAATATTCATATTACATCAGAAGAAAAGCTTGAAAACCATATGATTATATAATAGATGTTGAAAGTAGTTAACATTTAATAAAAATTCTAGTAAAATAGAGCAGGAAAGAAATTGCTTAAATATAATAAATAGAATTAAGAGCATATATCTTAATCAGTGACAGCCAAGTTAGCAGTGAGAGAGAGACGTGTGTACTCTGTTCATTTAAAAATCTTACAAACCTTAGCAAATACAATAAAATAACGTAGTAACAAGTGTAAAATGTTGAAAGAAATATGGGACCAGCAGAGAAGGGATTGTGGTGTGGCCATCCACCCTGGGGGGTGGATCTTGCTTTCTGTCTCCCTGTCTCTGTCTCTGTCTCTGGTGAGCGCACGTGCTCTATAGCAAAAATCTCTCTTAAGAGAAATAAGTAATTGTATATTTTTCTCCTTCATTATGAACAAAAAAAGCAAAATTCAGGGAAGTGTTTACAAGGTCCCATTTTGATAGCTGGCTCTATAGTCTAGTAGTTAAGAGAGCCAGATCCTCCATGGCCAACCATGGTTTTAGTCCTAGCCCCTTCAGTTTGAAAAACATGTCAGGCACATGCATGGGCATGCCCAAAATGGAGGGTACTTTCTACGTCCCATTTTGTAATGTCTAATGACTAAATACGTCTATGTAGATAGGACTATATGAACAAAAAGAAAAATATGGAGAAACAGATACTCTACTTTGGGGGTAGGTGCTAAAGTGAAGTTGGAATGGTGGTGAGTGGAGCCAAAGAAAGAAAGGCTGTATTTCAGAAAAAGGAAAATATTAATGTTATGCGTTGTATCTACATATTGAGAAATTAAAGGAGAACATATGTAATAAAAAGTGGAAAATCTGAGTAGGCCAGTGGTACCATCGGAATAAGCTTTGCCAGAAGGAAAGGAGGTGATTTAACTTTTTTTTTATATTCTGCATTGTTTCACTAGTTGCAATTAAACAAATTTTTTTTCTGTTGAACATGACCAGGTATTGGAAGATATAAGCTTTCATTTTTCCAAAAGTTTCTTTATTAGAAGTTTTCTCCTCAATCCATTACTCTCTTGGGGTTTTCAAATGTCTTTTTTTTTTTTTTTTTTTAAGAGAAATTTTTGCTATAGAGCATGTGCACTCACAGAAGAGACAGAAAGATAGACAGAAAATGAAAAATGAGTTTTAAGCCACTGGGTCTGGGGCTCAAACCACAGTCAGCTCCACGGGAGTCCAGTGACATAACCATTATGCCATCTGCTGACTTCCCCCTTCCCCAAGTCTTTAATATTTTAAGAAATTTTTGCTGTTCACGTAAGCTTGCTAGAAAGACAGAGACAGTGAGACGGAAAGCAAGAAATCACCCTTCTCCCCCAGAGGGGATGGCCTTACCGCAACCCCTTCACATTCATTCTCCTGTCAGGATTTTGGGCACACATGCCTAGCATGGGTTTCAAGGCGCCACATCTGAAATTTGAACGTCAGTCAACTATGGAAGTCCAGCAACAGAACCACTCCGCCATCTGCTGCTCTCTTTTTAACTGTCTTTGAAGAAGGAGTTTGACCCTAATTCTGCATGGATCTGATATACTCTTGAAATTACTTCCCTGTACAAAGACAGTGAATGTTCTGGTTTAAACTGTTGGAGAGATACGTTATGGAAATCTGTGGAGATGGAAGGGATATCAGTAAATGCCCAGATGTTAATATTTTTTTCTTTTTTTTTTTGGACAGGTTTTTGCTATAGGGCATGTGCGCTCGCCAGAGAGACAGAGAGACAGAGAGACAGAAAGCGAGAAATCACCCCCAGGGGGGATAGTCACGCCGCAATCCCTTCTCCTCCATTCTCCTCTCAGGATCTTGGGCACGCACGCACATGTGCCCGGTGTGAGTTTTAAGCCACCGGATCTGGGACACGAACCGCGGTCGACTATGTGGGAGTCCAGCGACATAGCCATTTCGCTAACTGCTGGTTCCCCCAGATGTTAATTTTTTATAGTTAATATTTTTAACAACTAAAGTTCTAATTTTTTTCCCCCTAATAGCTGCATCAAGGCACAGTTCCTGTCTCCTATACAGTAACTACAGTGGCGCCACACGGGATTCCACTCTGCACAGGCCAGCACATCCCTGCTTGCAGTACACAACAGGTCCCAGGATGCTCTGTGGTTTTCAGTGGACAGCACCTCCCTGTCTGTAGTGTGCCTCCTCCAGTAAGTCTGTTCCTTTATTCTCATTAGACTTAGTGTTAAGCACACCAATCTGGGTTTGGTTTTGTAATTTATTCCTCAGAAAGCCCTATTTAGAATGACTAAGAATATTATGTAAGGGAATAAAATTAAAGAGGCTGGGTTTTTTTTTAAGCTTCATTCCAAATAAAAAGCACAATTTTATTTCTATAGAAACCTCAATAATATCTTTATAGTTAGAACTATAAATAATAACTGTTTAATAAATTTAGCTTGAAAACTTGACTTTATGTTTTTTAAGTTTATTTCTTCCATAAGAGAAACAGACAAAGATCCCCAACAGGATTACCACCTCAAGATCCATCCCCAGTCTTAAGCCAGCTCAGATCACAGGCACGTGCACACATGCGCCCATAGGTAGAGAGGCTGTGGGGCACAAACCCTTGACCTTCCCATGTGTGTCCAGTTGTATGATCACTATGCCATCATCTGACCCCCTTGGTATATTTTTACACTAATTAAATCATACATATTTGAATTCCCTGAGTGTCAATCCTGTTTCCTCAAATATCAGTACTTCTTATATTAAACTTTTTGTCTTAGTCTCAGAGACCTTAATGTCAAAAGTAATATTTTAGCACTTACTGAATTTTAGTAGACCTGTTGAGAGCTTGGTCTTATTCCTCACCCTTGGAATCCTAACATAAAATGGTGTCATCACCATTTTAATGTTGAATGCAAAAGTTAAATAACTCGCTTTATGTCATAGAGAAATAGTAGGATAGAGCAGAAGAATTCACGCTTACTACTTTTTGCCCCTGACACTTAGGCTTTCATCTACTAACCTCCAGTTCAGCCTTTTAATTGTACAAACACAGGTGAGAAATCCAGAGGACTTAAGTGACTTATTTAAAGCCAGTAAGGTCTTCAGAGGAAAAGCTTGGCAAAACCTGAATATAACACTGATACTCTAATCTGAATGTGAGAATAGTGTATGTACTGCCAAAGTGAGCAGTGTATGTGAAATTAAAACAAACATACACATAGACACAATCAATACCGATTAATAGATATCATTTCCCTAACTTGGTTTCTTAGTAATAGAACCATTATGTTAAATTTGTCAACTAAAATATTGAGAAGCCAGAAATTAGTTGTGAGTTATGGTTATATAAAATCCTACAAGACTGAAGAATTTTATGGAATTGCAGTAGTATCCGCTGTATCTTAAACCAACTAGAGAGAGTTTCTTCTGTGCAGTACTTTCCGACCCATTTCACAGATGTTAAAAAAGGCTGAATTTAAGATCTTTTGACTAACTGGTAAGAACTATATAAAATGCAGAATAATTACTAGTTACCAGTACTATACCAATAGATGTAACAGTACACTAGTATTTCTTTAACATGAGCTATTACAAACATGTATGATTTAGGGGGAGGTGTGGCAATGATTTTAATCTTACCATCTTTTTTTTTTTTAATTAATTATATATTCTGGTATTTTTAAACAAAAAATACTTTGTCTTACAGATGCTTCAGGCATGTTCAGTTCAGCACTTACCAGTACCATATGCTGCGTTCCCACCTCTTATTTCTAGTGATCCATTCCTTATACATCCTCCTCACCTTTCTCCCCATCATCCTCCTCATTTGCCACCACCAGGCCAGTTTGTCCCTTTCCAGACACAGCAGTCAAGATCGGTAAGTATCTCTTTGTTGTGTTTAATTTTCCCAGAATGTTTAGACCAGGCACAATTATTTAGTAGATGTAAGTTATTGGTATTTTATTTATTTATTTATTTATTTATTTTGGAGAGGTTTTTGCTATAGGGTGCGTGCGCTCGCCAAACAGACAGAGACAGAGAGACAGAAAGTGAGAAATCACCCCCCAGGGGGGATGGCCACGCCGCAATCCCTTCTCCATTCTCCTCTCAGGATCTTGGGCACGCACGCACACGCATCCGGCGTGAGTTTTAAGCCACCGGGTCCGGGACGCAAACCGCAGTCGACTACGTGGGAGTCCAGCGACATAGCCATTACGCTAACTGCTGGCCCCAGTTATTGCTATTTTAAATACTAATGTATTCTTATGGTTCTTAAAATAATTAAAAGGAGGGCCAGCAGGTGGCATGGTGGTTGGGGGTGCTGGACTCCCACATGACTGACTGCGGTTCAAGTTCCAGACTTGGTGGCCTACTTTCTCACTTTCCCTCTCTCTCACTCTCCCTCTCCAATCAAATTAAAATAAATAAATAAAGTTAAATGATAAAATAATTATTTTTAAAAATAACAGTTATAGGAATATACAAACATTCATTAGTATAACTGTCTTGAATTTGCTGGTTTCCTAAATTTTTCTATTCGGTTGTCAGGAAAGTCATGATATTTTTCTGTGTTAAAATGCATCATGAGTTTCTTGACGACCCAATCATTGTTTTATTGTTACTTGTATAGTTTAAATTTGTGTCGTTTTTTTCATATCTGCAATCCTTTAGGAACTAAATCTGAGAATAAACCCTTAGTTTTATTGCCTTTTCCTTTTATGTATTTCTAAATTGGAATATGAAAATATAACATTATTAATACTTAATATTTGTATTTATTCAGACAACATAATTCCCCTCCCCCCCCCCGTTTTTTTGAGGTTTTTGCTATAGGCCGTGTGCACTCACCAAAAAGACAGACAGAAAGCGAGAAATATCCCCCAGGGGGATGGCCACCCGCAATCCCTTCTCTTCCATTCTCCTCCGCACAAGTGCCTGGCATGAGTTTCAGCCACTGGTGTGGGACTTGAACTGCAGTCGACTATGTGGGAGTCCAGTGATACAGCCATTACGCCAACTGTTGGTCCCCAGACAACATAATTCTATTGCACCTCAATTTTTTGGGGAGACCTGTTTTTCCAAACACTATAGTCTGTTAGAAAGCAGCTGATATAGTCTGTTAACATAGTTAATTCTGTCCTAGGACTAGTATTGAGTAAGTTAAAAAGGCACAGAAAGGATCTAGTTATTTTTTGGACAGGCAGAGTTCAACATCTGAGCCATCAGGCATTAAGGAGAATTAGGAAAGATAACCTATGAAAGTTGTCAGAATAGAAGATTTCAGCTCTGTGAGAAGAACTGATAGTCTTAGTATACAGAGCCTAACCATCACTTAATACGAATTTATGCAACATACTAGATACAAAGAGGGTGAGTGTACCTGGCCGCTCTCCCTGAAAACTAGAAGCATTTATGACAGAAGTCATCTGAAAAGTTAGAACTGCCCCTGGGGCGAACCTCCTACTGGTTAAGGGAATAGGAACCACATGGTTGCTGTAGTTTGAATCCTGGCCAGGCAGCCTGTCAGATATACTGAGTATTTATGTTCATGTATGCTAAACATTTAAAAATTTCAATAGGATGGAGAAATGGAGGAGAAGGGATTATGGCATGACCACATCTCATTGGGAGTGAAGGGTGCTATCTTCCTTTTCTCTTCTAATCTGTTAGAGAAACTACAGCATAATACCTCCTCTGTATCTTACTTCATTTAGCCCTATCTCTGATTTATGAATATACAGCATTTTATATTTCATCCATGAAAGCTTTAAGTGTCTGAAAATCCTTTTAGTAGTTGTGGGCGCCATAACTTTAAAAAGTCATTTTAACTTTCATATAATTGGCTTACTATGTAACTTCTTGTCTTTACTTCTCATGTTAAGAGAAGGTTCAAGGGGACCAGCAGGTGGCGGTGGTTAAGCCACTGGACACTCTCACGTGGCTAACTGCGGTTCGCATACCGGACCTGGTGGCTTGCTTTCTCACTTTCCCTCTCTCTGTGTATCTCTCTCTGGTCAGATTAAAATAAGTGAATTAATAAATAAAATTAAATAAATAATTATTTTTAAAAAGAGAGAGAGAGTAAGTAGGTTCAGATAGAGACCAGCAAGTGACATTGTGGACTCCTACATGGCCAAATGCAATTTGAGTCCTGGACCCGGTGACTTGAGAATCACGCTGGGTACGTGTGTACGCATCCCCAAAATTCTGAGGAGAATGGAAGAGAAGGGCTTGTGGTATGGCTATCTCCCCTGGGGAGTGATTTCTCACTTCCCCTTTCACTGTATCTGTCTCTCTGGTGAGCACATGTGCCTTATAGCAAAAACCTTATCAAAAAAAAAAGAGAAGATTAAAATAGTGAAAGAAATATATCCTGTAATGAATAATAGAAATGTTTAGTAACATATTTCAGAGACTTGTATTAAAATTAAAGTTAGTGGGATCAATAGATGGCAAGGTGGTTATGTTGCTGTGGACTCCCATACAGTCCTGGATCTGGTGGCTTAATACTCACACCAGGTGCATGTGCGTGTGTGCATGCCCAAGATCCTGAGAGGAGAATGGAGGAGGAGGTATTGCAGTGTGGTCATCCCCTGGGAGTGGGTGATTTCTCACTTTCTGTCTCTCACTCTGTCTCTCTGGCGAGTGTACCCACCCTATAGGAAAAATCTCTTAAAAAAAAATGTTTTTCGAGTTTTTATTTTTGAGTATGTAGAACACAGTCCGTCTAAATACTGGAAGGATATTATTTCTTTTTTCTCCTCAGCCTCTGCAAAGGATAGAAAATGAAGTGGAACTCTTAGGAGAACATCTTCCAGTAGGAGGTTTTACTTACCCTCCATCAGCCCATCCCCCAACATTACCTCCATCAGCTCCTTTGCAGTTCCTAACACATGATCCTTTGCATCAGGAGGTATCCTTTGGAGTAGTAAGTTCCTACAAATTGCTGTATTCATTTCTTTGATAACTTACTTGTTCTGGGTTGTGTTTCAGCATAACTCTCAACATGCTAATAGAATTTTAACTGTTTTTGTAAACATTCAGTTGAAAAATTATATTTAAAAGTACACCTGAGTTAATGTTTTAAATTGGTTATTGTATCTCTATTGTTGCCATTTAAGAACTATTAAATTAACACTTGAGCAGTAAACAACTTTGGAGTTTTTAGTAGATATTAGACTTTATTTCACAGGTTAATTATTTGTAAATGTAGAATTATCTTATATCCTTTTGAACATTTCCCCCCACAGCCTTATCCTCCATTTATGCCTCGGAGGCTCACAGGACGCAGTAGATACCGATCACAGCAGCCAATGCCACCTCCCCCTTATCATCCCAGCTTACTACCATATGTGTTGTAAGTTTTTTATTTTAATTATTGCTGAATGTTGAAACCCTTGAGATTCTTTTTCTTTTTTGGATATGGTCTGTGCAGTCTGTAACTTTGAGTATGTTTGATGTTTATGTTTCTTTTTTGTCTTTGTTTAACTTCTTCCTTTCATCTGATTGTAAGGGTTGGTGTACCCTTGACAGAGTCTCACCATGCCATGATCTTTCCCTGAGCCTTCCAGGCATCTAGGATCATGGGCATGTTGGGGTACTCCGGACATGTTCAAGTCAGCCAGGATCCAAACCCAGGCCTCCCATCGCATAGCAGTACCTTACCACCTTTGCCCCACTGCAAGTGAAAATAATTATCTGGCCACATAGTTGGGCCAAATTATTTTTACCTTAAGCTGAAGCGTTGAGCTAGGACACCCAGTTAAAGGACAAAAGAATAGCAGGGACACAGAATGGAGAAGGAAGAAATCTATGAAGGAAAAAAATAGGCTTATACAAATAGAGGCAGAAATGATGAAGATTATTACCTCTTTTACAACTGGTATTACTGGTCACCACTTTAATTTTTTTCAATCGCCAGAGGGCACATGTACTCAACAGAGCAGTAGGGGGGAAAGCATCCCCCAGATGGGTATGGCTATACTGTAATCTCTTTGTCATCATTTCTCCATCCTGTTGGGATTTTGGGCATGCGTGCATACAAACTTGGCATGTTTTCCAAGCTGTGAGTACCAGGACTCTTAACTGGCCAGCCACATAGAATATGACTCTCTTAACCACTGTGCTATGGAGCTGGCCCCCATCACTTTTTATTACCCAACTTTTGATAATGTTTCTGTCAGAGGAGAGGACAGGCAGGAGAAGTTACTACTATGTCTTAGAGCTACTCTGTTAGAATTAAGTTTATAACAGAAAAACTGAAGGGATTAAACATGATACTTCTTTATTTCTCTGTCACATAATAAACTTTATAAGTAGGCAGTTTAAGGATATTAGCTGTATGACTGTGAGGAATGGTTTTACCATCCTGGAAATTTTATAACTTCTTCTATATGATGGTCCTCAGATTCTAACCATTAAGTCTACATTGAAGCTAATAAAAATGAAAATAGAGGCTTATGTGACCTAGTAATTAAGAGAACCAAAGCCCACATGGTCCACCATGTAGTTCAAATCCCAGACCTGGCAGCTTTAATAACTCCCGGAGGCTGGCAGGTGACATGGTGGTTGGGGTGCTGCAGTTCGAGTACCAGACCTGGCAGCTTGTTTTCTCACTTTGCCTTTCTCTCTCTCTGTGTCTGTCTCACTGGTCAAATTAAAAAATACTAACAACAAATGAATAATTCTTATAAAGAAAAAAACTTAGTGCCAGGAGGTGGTGTAGTGGTTAAGGCACTGGACTCAAACCATGACCAGCCGTGGTTTGAGTCCTGGACCTAGCAGCTTGAAACTCATATTGTGTGTATGTGTGCCCAAAATCCCAAGAGGAGAATGGAGGAGAAGGGATTATGGCATGTTCATCCCCTCTCACTTTGTCTCTCGCTGTCTTTCTCTATCTCCAGTAAGCACATGCACCCTATTAGCAAAATCTCTCTCTTAAAAAAACAAGGGCCAGCAGGTGGCATAGCAATTACATCACTGGACTCACACATGACTGATCACAGTTCAAAGCCCAGACCCAGTGGCATAAAACTCACACTGGGCGCATGTGCATATGTGCCCAAGGTCCCAGGAGGAGAATGGAGAAGGGATTGAAGTGTGGTAATTCCCCCCCCCGGGGGGGGTGATTTCTTACTTTTCCTCTCACTGTCTTTGTCTGTCTCTCCAGTGAGTGCACGTACCCCAAGGCAAAACCCTCTAAAAACAAAACAGACAAACAGAAACATACTGGGCTCACGTTTGTGCCCAAAGTCCCAGTGGGGTGGAGAAATGGAGGAGAAGGGATTGTCGCATCACCAGGCCCCATTGTGGGGTGCTTTCTTCCTTTTCTGTCTCCTCTCTGGTGAGTGTATATGCCCTCTGGAAAAAGGAGAAGAAAGGGAAAGATAGAGGAAGAAAGGGGATGGAAGAAAAAGTAGGGAAGGTAAGGAAGAAAAAAATGGTTCTTTCTGCCTATTTGCTCCTCTCACTGATCTGTCCTAGAAGTATTACACATATTACTGCTGCCTCTACCTCATTAACTAGAGTGTAGTCACATGTTTATAATTACCTTCAAGGGAAGCTAACTAATGTAGTCTTTATATCAATAGGTCTGTATCACAGTTTTTATACTTTTAGCTTTCTTTCTCTGCCCCTTATTTCTCTGTCCTACCTATCTACCTGTCTTAAAATCAGATAGAATAAGTATCCCAACTTTGTTTTTTTTTGTTTTTTGTTTTTGTTTTTGGTTTTTTTGGCGGGGGGAGAGGTTTTCGCTATAGGGTGCGTGTGCTCGCCAGACAGAGACAGAGAGATAGAAAGCGAGAAATCATCCCCCAGGGGCGATGGTCACACCACAATCCCTTCTCGAACTCCATTCTCCTCTCGGGATCTTGGGCACGTACGCATACGTGCCCGACGTGAGTTTTAAGACACCCAGTCCAGGTCACGAACCATGGTCGACTACGTGGGAGTCCAGCGACATAGCCATTACACTAACTACTGGTCCCCCAACTTTGATTTTTAAATGTTTTTATATAAGGTCTTTTGCATTTCCATATAAAACATTAAATCACCTAGATTCTACTAGGAAACATTTTGGGGGGATTTTGGTAGGGATTTCATGAAATCTGTAGCTCAGTTGGCTGGAGTAGGGGAGAACTGACCTTTTAACAATATTGAGTCTTTTAATTTACATTTTTGGCATATATTTCTATTTCTTTATCTTTATTCTAGCAGTATTTTTGCAGTTTTCATTGCACAGATCTTACCTGTTTTGTTAATTTTTTTCATGTTATTGTGAAGGCTATGTTTTTGCTTTCAACTTTTGTTGCTAGTAAAGACACTTAAGAAGGTTGCTACTCATTAATGCTCACTGTTTTCATCTTTGTAACACTGGCCTTTGTCTTTTCCTGTCCGTTTAATTAGTGTACTAACATATCGATACTAATGTGGTTGCTTTACTGCAGATCAATGCTTCCAGTGCCACCCACAGTGGGCCCAACTTTCAGTTTTGAATTGGATGTGGAAGATGGAGAAGTAGAAAATTATGAGGTTCGTAAATGTACTGTGTGTTAATTGGGGAATATCATGTGCATAAAAGTATTGTTCTATTCAATGCTCATTTAATTAAATATTTAATATTCTAAAAAAATTCTGTGAAAGCGGAACTGTTTGAGTTGGATGAGAATGGGGAAACTTTTTCGTATGTAGAGTTGAAGCAGGTAAGTGGTGGACATTTGTGAAGACCAGCATATAACCTGTGACTAAAGTGAAATATGATTGATAAATTCAACTGATTGTCTTAGAGTACCCTGCTAGTGAATGGTCATTATTCTGAATATTATGGAGGAAGAAGGAACCACTAAATGTTTTTGGTGCATATTGGCATCATATATCTACTTGTAAGTGTCAAAACACTGCTACTAGTATAAAGAAATAGATGGGAATGGTTAGAAGTTGGTGACAGGGAGAGGCTGGCAAGTGATGTGGTTTAAGGTGCTGAACTCCTGCATGGCCAGCCATAGTTCAAGTCCCTGACCTGGTGACTTGCTTTCTCACTTTCTTTCTCTCTGTCTCTTGCTGGTCAAATTAAAATAATAATAAAGTTAAATAAAATAATCCTTTTTCTTAAAAAAGAGGAGTTGGTGACAGGAAAACTTAATTAGATGTCTTAATAGGTCAGGCAATAAATGATAAAACCACTTAAGTTCTGGTGGCCAGTAGGTGTCATGATGGTTGAAGTGATTCCTACATGGAATCCCAGACCCAGCAACTTGAAGATCATGCCAGGCACATGTGTGTGTGTGCCCAAAATCCTGAAAGGAAAATAGAAGAGAAAGGATTTTGGTGTGGCTATCCCCCACAGGGGGATGATTTCTCACTCTCCCTCTCTCTTGTCTCGCTCTGGTAAGCTCACATGCCCTATGGCAAAAACCTAAAACAAAACAAACAAAAACATAAATTTTGATCTCTGGGAACTTTAAATAGAAAGGAGAGTACAGTCAGCAACTACTTTTTTTTTTTTTTTAAGAATTATTTGTATTTAACTTTATTTATTTATTTTGAGAGATGTTTTTGCTATACGGTGCATGTGCTCACCAGAAATACCGACAGAAAGTGAGAAATCACCCCCCAGCAGGGATGGTCACGCCGCAATTCCTTCTCCTCCATTCTCCTCTCAGGATCTTGGGCACGCATGCACACGTGCCCGGCTTGAGTTTAAGCCACCAGATCCAAGACTTGAACTGTAGTCGACTACATGGGAGTCTAGCAACATAGCCATTAAGCCATCTGCTGGTCCCATTTTAGTTTAATTTGACCAGAGAGGG